GACCTACACGCACCTGCTCCTCACTCGCACGGCCCGGGGTGCAAGGTCTTGATCTGGGGCAGAACAAGAGGCTCACTCATCCCAGGGTCACGGGCAATGCGATGGAATGCGGCCTGCACGTCACACTGGGCCACCTGAAGAGGCCCCTCGTCCGCCCACCTCGACGCGACCCCGCGATCCACCCGCAGGTCGCGCAGTCTTGACAGGAGGACGGAAGATCATTAGCAGCACGAGTGTCACAGATCATTCGGCGGGAGCGATCCATATTGCTAACAGAGAATATCCCGACGGCGGCAGGGCGGGCGCTCGAGAAGCCGACGATGCCCCTCGCACGCAGGTCACCCAACAACGCGCCGTGCACCGCTGGGCGCTTCACAAGCGCTGGATCCGAAAAGACGGAGGAGACGCCAACACCGTCAGCAGCGGCAGGTCCGCTGTCCTTCTCGCGAAATAGACGCGATCTCCACTCCGACCACATCTTGAGTTCCCGGCCGCCGAGCACGTCGGAGAGCTCCACGGGCTTAGAAGAGACCCGAGGCAGCAAGGCGGCCCCCGCACGGCACGGAGATGGAAGGCCCGCAGCATCGGCCTCGAAGGCGTAGCCGGCGCGGGCGCCGCAGAGCTCCAGGAAGGCTCGCGCGGCATCACCAGGCCCAGCAGGCGGCGGGCCGACGGCACGGCAGGCGCCCTTCAGCTCCTCAAGGCGCGACAGCTGGCCGGCCGAGAGTCGGGCGTTGGCGGAGCCGGATTTAGCGGGGCCTAGATGCGCACTGCACTGGGGGCGCCCCCCCCGCCCAGTCCCACTAGCCGGAAGTGCCGTGGCCCGAAAAAACAAAAACTACGGCAAACCTGGTTTAATGATTCTGGCCAATTCAAGGGCTCCGGGGCCCCGCCGCTAACCGGGCCCCCTTGCCCGGGGCCCTGGCCATGCCCGAGAGAGAGGCGTCGAGTCGTCATCGCCAGCTGGAACGGGATGACCAAGAAGTTCGTTGACTGCAATAACGCCTCGATTGCACCAAGCCTGCAAGTGCTGCCGCGCTGCAGCCCCCCTTCTGACCGAGCGGCAACCAGCGGCGACCTCAGGCCCCCTCGCGAGGGGAAATGGCGGCGGACAGGGGGGTAGCTCCCGCGGCGGCCCGCCGGCGGGCCCGTCGCCCATCCTGAAGAGGGCGAAAGACGGTGGCCAGCTACGGCGACGGGGCCAGTACCTGCCGCCGGCCCCGATGGACTCGCCCTGCTCGCCCATGAAAGCCTTGCGCTCTTCAAGGGCTTTGCGGCGTTCCTTCATGACCTGGTAATCGTTCGAGAGCTCACGGCCCGCCCAGGTCTCCAGCTCCGGCGAGACGCACAGCATGCCGCGCGTTGCCGACAGCCCGAGATACAGGTGGGCGTCGTCGCAGGGATCGCTCACGACGCCCTTCTTCCCGCCCTGCATCTTCTCGGGGCCGAACTTCCCCCTGTGCTTGAGCTCGATCAGCCGCGCGCGGCGGCAGGCCAGCTCTGCCCGGGCCAACTGCGGCAGGCCCAGCTGGTCTTGCACGGCGCCGAAATACAACATCTTCATGACCACGGCGTGCTCGCCCGCCCCCCCGACGCCCGAAGGCCGCAGGCGCCCGTCGGCCAGGAAGCGAGCGCGGCGCTGCTCGGGGTTCTGGAAGTGCTCCGCGATGAACGAGAGCACGAACAGGACAGTGCGAGGGCCGTTCAGCGGCCAGCCCTCCCAGGAGCCCCCCTGCATGGCCTCCACGGGCGCCCTGAAGTCGCGGGGCCTGATCCCGAAGGGCGTGCGCGCGATCGCCAGCACTCCGGCGTCGCCTAGCTTGGCCAGCCTCGTCATCGCGTCGCTGAGCTCGACCTTCAGCGACCCGCTCTCGGAGAAGACTTCCTTCACGAGCCTCTCGAGCTCCCGGCTGTCCAGCTTGCTAAGCTGTTCCTTCAGCCACATGTCGTTGTCGGCCTTGGAGCGCAGGGCCCGCTGGGCGCGGCTGATGAGCGCCTCGGCCCTCTCCAGGGCGCCCGTGCCGTCGGCGCCGCCGATGTCTGCAGTGGCGGAAGCGGCCGAGCCGAGGGCTCGACGAAGCTGAGCCGCTCTCGTCGACGCGTATTCGTCGAGGGCGTCGAATGCGACCCATTCCACGGCGACGGTAACACCACCGACGCGCGCGATCCTAACCGTCCCGCACTGCACCTCGGGGTCAGCCGTCTCGGCGCCCAGCGCGAAGCCACAGCTCGGGTCGGCGACCAGCCGAGCTCCAGCGCGCGCCGGGGGCGGCAGCGGCGGCGCGCCCAAGCCCACGGGCTCCCCGCCCCGCTCCGAACTGCGCGGCGTGTCAACGCCGCCGACTGCCTCCGAGCCGGGAGGGCCGTCCGCCAGCGCAGCTAGGGGCGGGGCCTGCTTGCCGCGCAGCCTCCGCGGCGGTGCCACCCTGGCGGTCGCGGCTAGCGCCTCGGCTCCAGCAGCGGGCTCGATTGGAGTCTCCATCCCGCTGCGTTAGGCGTCGGCTCGCGCGATGAGCCGCTGCACCAGCGAGGGCGCGATGTCGCCCGTCTTCGTCTTGCCGTCGTAGAAGAAGTACGCGTCCGCCTCGCGGATCCCGCGCGGCAGCGCGCGCGACGGCGGCAGCACCGACACGCGGCGGAAGACTTCCGCGTCCGAGTAGATATCGTCGTGCACCTCGAAGTCGGGCGCGGCGGCCACCCAGTGCCCTGCTGAGCGGCTCACCGGCTGGCGCAGCAGCCCGCCCGTGGTGGCAGTCGTCGCCATGGTAGAACACCAGCAGCCTAGTGCCCTCCACGAGTCCCTCCAACGCTGGTCGAGCCAGCATGGCGACGGCGCTCCTGCGCCGCGCGGCGTTCGGCGGTCAGCGACTCCGCTCTCTCGCCTCCGTCCGCTTCCACCGCGAGTAGGCCCTCAGCGGAGGTCGCGCGGCGGGCGGCGGCGAGCCCCAGGGCCCAGCGCGCCACGCGGTCCGCCAGCAGCCCCACCAGGATGCCAGCGGCGAAAGCCGACGCTGTCGGCACCCAGGAGCGCGCGGCCGCCGCAGGGCAGTCCACGGGCTCCACGGGCACCCCCGCGGCGCAGGTCAGCGAGCCGCAGGCCACGTCGGGGCAGTGGAGCGAAGGGCACGGAGGGCAAGATTTGCAGGGCAGAGCTAAGGTGGAGTGAGAGATGGGACAACTCGCGGAGGACGCCTCCGATCTCGACCAGATCCATCGAGAGACGTGAGCATTGAAGGCATCGGACACGGATGCAACTCAACCGTCTGAAACGATGGCGGAGACCCTCTCGTTCACTCAGGATGCACGTTCTCAGAACTTCTATAGTAAGACCGGCAGTGACAGCGATAGTGAGATCGATATGAATGTCGAAAGTGAGATCGGTTGATGCCCCGATGGCATCCGTGGTGTCTCGATGGAGAGGTCGATCGAGTGGGATCGATAGTGGGACCACATCGCGACGCAGCATCGTCAACACGCGTCGTCGCCAACTCGAGGGCAAATCACCAGCATCGTCATCATTACCGCCATCGCAATTGCCGTGAATTGGTCATTTTCTTTCCCCTTCTGACCTCCTTCTCACCCGGAGGGTGGTCGTATAGATATCTACATGTACTCACCTAGATGTAGGTCTACAACTTTTTGTAAATATGTATGTGCCACGGCTGCGCTTATATGAGAGAGGGGAACGAGCAGGCACCCACACGTCGAATGAAGGACACTGTGTGGGCATGGGGGCCCGTGCGCAACATTCATAACTTGAACAACTGACGTACGCACATGGCCTGTGAGGCAGCCAATAGTCCAAAGCTCGACGAGCGACATGCGCAGACCCAGCAGAGCAGCTGCTGGGATCGAGCGCCTATGTCCACACATACACACTCAACTCTCCCAATGTTGCACCAACCGCTGGGTGTCGACTACGTAACGGGGCACGGAAGAGTGGTCTGCAACTGCACGTGGGGCGACCGGGCACTCGCGGCTAACTCGTACATTTGTGCCAGCGGCGCGGTCAATGACACAAGCGGCGCCCCGCGCAAACCCTGGAGAAACGCGGTTGGATCCACCAATAAAAGATCGACAACGACACTCATGGGTAGGCACCCGCGAGGGGACAGACGGGAGAAAGTGGGAGAAACAGGGAAGGAGAACAGAAAGCAAATGGACAGCACCAAACAACAGGCAACCAAAGGGAGAGGACACACACAGACACAAACGCACGCACGCACGCACGCACACACATACACACATACACACACACACACACACCTGCACACACCTGCACACACCTGCACACACACACACACACACACACACACACACACACACACACACACACACACACACGCGCGCGCGCGCTCCTACTGACTCTAAAACCGTATTCGGCCAGGAACCTGGCCCAGAGACAAGTTTTGGAGGACTCCCGCGACCCCAGAAGGCTCTCCACGGGGCGCAACTGCTGGGACATAGACTGGGGTCGAATCCCCGTAAGACCAAATCAAACAACACACACCTTTTCGAGGACCGTCGGGGAACCTCCTGAACACGGTCCGACTACCTCCACTCAAGCTCTGCAAACCTCCGCGAACCTCCACAAATTGGGAAGGGAGTGCTGACTTCGCCCCCAGGCAATAAATCGAGCATCGGATTCAAGGCGTGGGTGCTGGTCACTCTTCCCAACCTGTGAGGAGGCCACCTAAGTCAGAGCGAACGAATTGTAGACGTGGGTGCAACTCGAGCTCTGGCAAGAACACGGCAAGAAATCCCCAGAACATTCGAGAGCCCAGGGTCGCCACCAAAGGCCGCGGGCGCAAATCAGAAAACGTAGTGGCTCCAAAAGACGTGGACAAGCACAGCAAACACACAACCCCAGCAAAGACGTGGACAAGCACAGCAAGCTGCGAAAACCTCAGAAAAACAAAAATTTCCAAAACCTCCCAACGCCACGGCGGCGGCGACCGAACAGCAAAAAACAATTACCCCTCTCCACGCCGCCGGGGCACCGAGGTGCCGCACCACCGGCAGAAGCGCACAGGGTCTGGCGCCTGCGCGCGAGCGGGCAGCGGTGGCGCCGGCCAGCGCGCGGGGGGGCGATCGGGCGGCACCGCGGGCTAGAGGGAGGCGCTCGGCGGGGCGCTGCCGGCGAGGAGGAGGGAGAGAGAGAGGGGGAGGGGGGGACGGGAAGATGCAGGCAGACGACGTGCGCACGGACGGGCTGGCGAGACGGAGCAGGCGGGTGGGCAGACGAGGGGGGACGGGGTTCCGCAGAGCAAGGACGACTGTGACCTGCGTGCTTGGCCGACCCCCTACCCTTCACCCGCTCTGTTCAGGGACACGTCTCGAGGGACAACTGGGTGACCCGACTCGTGCCTTCCGCCCGCGCCCCCCCCAACCCCCAGGAGAGAGACACCGCTCCGACCCAGGCCGCGGAGTGCCAAGCGCGAGACTATCTTCGCGCCTCCGCGGGTGACCCAGACTTCAGACGTCTCGAACGTGCTTCCCATCCTGAGCTGTCTTCGTTGACGCTCCTGGGGCCCAGTGCCGGCCCACTGGCACGGAAAACTACAACAAACCTCCGGCGTGATGGAGCGATGCGTTCCAGCCCCAAGGAGGTTTGGGGGGGGGGGACGTGGCTGTAGGGCCACGTCCTGGGGGACACCGCCCCCCCCCCCCTCTGGTCGCGATTGCCAGCGAGCCTCACGCGGCGCGGAGTCGGGCGCAACGGAGGCGGACGACGCCCAGCCGGGGGGAACCAGAGAGCAGAGGCTGGAATACAAAGGCTTGCTGCTTTTCCCCCTCGCTGCCTGTCCGATGCAATCAGGCCGACTCACCTAGCCCTCGGGAGGAGGAGGAGGAGGAGGAGGAGGAGAAGTGAGGGTGCGGAAATGGACAAAGGACTGCTGTGGGGTTGACTTCCCCCCCTGGTGCCATGTTTTTCCCTCTTCTTCCCCCCGCATCGTCCCCCTCCATCCTCCTCCCCTCAACGCCCTCTGCTCCATCCTCCTTGCTGCTCTTCCTGCACGACCATATCCCGCATTCCTCGCCCCTCGGTACTCCAATCAACCTCATACTCACCCGCATCACCATCTTCAACGCCGTCATCACCATACCCACAATGATCTGGAACATCCTTCCCTCCCAACTCCCGCCTCCCTTCTTCCTCTTCCGCCTCAGGTTCCGCCCCTTCGTCAGAGTCAGGATGCCGTGCAGCGTAATGCGACCGAGTCTTCATACAATCGTTCAGGATGCAGAGTTCAAAACACGTGCGCTGGATTCTCACTATGCATGTCCATGATATCCTGACCTGTCCAACGCCCAACGGTTGCTCGCCGAAGGAGGGGGAGACGCTGAGAAGGGAGGGCGCATTGCAGCACCAACGATCCGGTTTAGGCTTACCATGACCCCTATGCTCTGTCCGACTCCTGCTCACCTCTCTCCAGCTCCACCCTCCCCCTCCTTAGCCGACTCTCCCTTCTCCTGCTGTTGTTCATCCTCCTCGACCTTCCCCTCCCCCTTCCATCTCCGCATCCGCATACACCTCTTTCACTTTCCTCTACTGAGAACACTATTACTGCTCTCGCTACCACTACACCTACCACTGACACTACCACTACCACTTACGCCACCGCTACCTCTACCACTACTAGCAATGCTCGAACACCACCCTAGAAGGCCCCTCCGATACAGGCCGACCGCCGAAGGCCCACCCAAGGGGGGCGAATACAGAATGGCGGCAGAAAACCGACCCAAGGGAGCCAACAACCGCCCCCCGCCGCCCGCCCCCCGCTCCCCGCCGCTCACCGCGCGCAGGCCAGGGGATAGTTTTAGTTTTAGGAAGTGTCGTTTTCGCGTTCGGGGTGAGGTGCGAGTTTTCCGGGGTGTAGTGGCAGTTTCGCTGTCGTGGTTAGTGCTAGTTGTCGAAAATACCCTTCGTGCCTGGGGCGTCGGTTGTATTTTCGGATTTCCCGGAACGTAAGGTTTGGTTCTCGGGAGGCGGTTCCGTGCTTGGGAGGGCCAGATTTCGTGGAGCGTAGATTTCGTGGTGGTCAGGGCGTCGATTTCGTTTTCGGGACGTCGATGTCGTTTTCGGAAGGTAGATTGAATGCTCGGGCCATCAATTTCGTTGTCGGGACGTCGATTCAATTTTCGAGATTCTGCTTTGCTTTCGGGACGTTGATTTCGTTGTCCAGACGTCAATTTCGTTGTCGGGACGTCGATGTCGTGTTCGGGAGATCGATTTCGTTTTCGGCAGGTCGATTTCGTGCTGAGGACATCGGTTGAATTAGTTGTCGGTACGTAGATTTCGTGTTCGAGAGGTCGATGTCGCTTTCGAGACGTCGATTCCGTTCTCGAAACGTCGGCTTCGTTTTCGGAGCGATCATTTCGCATTCGCGAGGTCGATTTTGTGGTCAGGACGACAAAATCGTGTTCGAGATGTAGATTTCGTGCTCGGGACGTCGGTTTCGTTGTCGGGAGATCGATTTCTTTTTCGAGGCGTCGGTGTTTCGTTGTCGGGACGTCGATTTCTTCTTCGGGACGTCGTTTTCGATTTCGGGACATCGATGTCATGTTCAGGGCGTCCTATACCATCGCCCATCCTACTGATCATGAGGACGTGCTGGCGTGTGCTTGTCCGCAGATGCATTTCGGTTCGGGAAGACTTCACTCCACCCAGGGCCGCTAAGTGCTCTGAGGTAAGAGCATCAGGCTATGCAAGTCTCTGTGCATCATCGATCTTCGTCATCTGCCGCCGTTTCCGGACCTCCGAAGTCTCTGTGCTGTTCGTGATGTGGGCCCTGGAACTGTCGACGCTCTCAAGACGGGTTACCCATTTAGGGCTCAGGTAGTAAAAAACCTTCCCGCTGGGATTTTTATTGCGTGACGCCCTCTGCCGCCACTTCCCAGCCCTTCTGGCATGCGGGACGACAAATCCATGGCCCCCTCCTGGATTCCATCCAAGCCAAGTATTCGACCTACGCCAAGCCGTGGCCGTAGTTTTCTGGTTGCCACCACCTTGCCCGTCTCACTCTCTCGCCCGCCTCTCTTTCCCCCCCTCTCCGGAGTGTGTAGCCACCCCTTGCGCCTCGTTGGGAACAAAAGCTACAAAGACGGCTTCCCGAAGCCATGTGCAATCATATGTTTTCCTGCTTGTCAACACGCATATGAGTTGCATGTTCAATCCGTTTACCGCTGCGCCGTCAGGACGCGGCTTCGTTCGCCCGCTCGTTCCAGCCGTGTCCGCGAGGACCTGCAAAAAGTCCCCCAGTATTTGGGACGCTGGCGACGTCGTCGTTGTTGCCGCCGTTCCTACTGCCGGCGGGCCTGTGGTTCCAGCTCGGGCTCTTGCTCGACGGGCTCGAGCCCAGGGGGGGCCGCGGGCGCGCTGAGCGGCGAGGGCGGGGCCTGAAGGCTGGGGGAGGCCAGCGGCCCCCGCGGGGTCGTCGTCGTCGTCGTCGATGTCGTCGTTCGTCCTGATCCTCTTCCTATGCCATGCCTGAAAGGGGGCCGGGCACCCCCCACGCCAACGCTCGGGTATCCTCGATGATCCGCAATAGCGGTGCAGTAGCGGTAAAGGGGGAAGAATGGGGGTGACAACGATTCCCCGCGTATGGGTGGCGGTGCCGGGGGCCCTGTACGCAAGGCTGCCACCCACTCCCAGGGACGTGACGCACCAAGGAGCTTGTGGGTGGGGTATTCAAACACGGCCGGGCGCTGGATCCGAAATAACCGCAAACGTCGGGCAAAGAAACACATACACATTCGTGTTGGCACACGGGGGCGCGTCCTCGATGCCGTAATAGCGGTGCGATAGCGGTGAAAGGGGAACAGTGGGGTGAAAATGCTTCCCTTTTTATGGGTGCCAGTGCCAGGGGCCCTATAGGCAGGGCGCCCGCCACTCCCAGGAACGTGACTCCCCAGGGTGATTGTGGGTGGGGCATTAAGAAACGGCCGAGCGCCGAACCCAAATGGCCACAGACGTCGGCCACCGACGAGGATACGCATTCGTCTTGGCACACGGGGGCGCATCCTCGATGAGCTCCAATAGCTGTGCGATAGCGGTAGCAAGGGAAAACTGAGGTGACAACGATTCCCGTTGTATGGGTGGCGGCGCCGGGGGCCCTGTACGCAGGGCACAGACCTCGCCCAGGAACGTGACGCCCCAGGGAAGTTGTTGGTGGGGTATTCCGAAACGGCCAAACGCTGGAACCCAACTGGCCACAAGCGTCGGGCCAGGAAAAACACACATTCGTGTTGGCACGCGGGGGCGCGTCCTCGATACGCGTTAACAGCGGTGCGATAGCGGTGACAGGGGATCAACAGGGTGATTACCATTCTACGTGTATGGGTGTCGATGCTGGGGGCCTCGTACGCAGGGCGCCTGCCGCTCCCAAAAACGTGCCGCCCCAAGGTGGTCGTGAGTAGGGCCAGACGAACGCCAAAGCACAAATGGCCGCAGACGTCGGGCAAGGAAATAGACACACATCCATGAAGGCAAACGGGGGGCGCATCCTCGATGAGTTCTCATAGCGGTCCGATTGCGTTACATGGGGGACGGTGGAGTGACAACAATTTCCTTTGTATGAGTGGCGGTGCCACGTGCCATTTTGGGAAACGTGATGCCCCAAGGTGGTCGTGGGCGGGTTTTTCAGGAATGGCGGAACGCCTGAGCCCACATGGCCACAGACGTTGGGCATGGGAAAAGGATACGCGTTCTTGTTGGCACGAACCGCGAAGGCGAAGAGCGGGGCGACGGCGATTCCCCTTTTGTGGGCGGCGGTGCCAGGGATCCTGTGGGCAGCAGGAACTTGATGCCCTCTCTCTGCGATGGGAATGACTCTTGACAAAAAGAATGGTGCAGCTGCACGGGCGGATGCACGAACCCGGAAACAACACGGAGATGCTGGGCCATCCTTCTCGCCTCGCTGTACTTTCCAATTATTTTACGACCCCGGCGCTACTGCGTGCCCAGCCTCCCCGGGGCCCTCTCCGGCGGAAAAACACCGAGGGCACCCGAAAGGACGGAGAGCCCTTCCACCACGCTGTGGCGGGGCCCACCGGGGGGGGGGCGTCGAGATGTGTCGTAAGTAGACACGCGAGAGGGCGGTTTCGAAGCCTCTCACCTGCCCATACAGCGCCGCGGTGCGCGGAGGGCGTTGGCTCCTGACCCGCTCGCGGGCCGCAGCCTCCTCGCCGGCGTCGCCCCCTGCCGGGGCACTGCTGCAGCTGCTCGCGCTCCGCCAACGCGACCTCGCCCGCGGCGCGCTGCGCGGGGCTGTCCCGGCGACGCGGCCGCCGCCTCGTCGGCGGCAGACTCGCGGCGCCCCCTCGTGGACAGCGTCGTCGCGTCGAGTGCGCGCCACCTCGGACCCGCGGCCGCCGCGCGGATCCCGAGCTACTCGTCGAAGTCCGTCTGCTTCGCGTCGCTGGGGCCACCCGCCCCCGCGCCCCCCTCGCGCGGTAGCCATTTCGGGCTCAGCGCCACGCCACCCCGGGCGGGCCCCGTCCTGGATGACCGCCATTGTCCACTGGAGCGCCCGGGGCTGCTACCCGCGCGCCCCGCCGGGGAGGCCACCCCTGGGGGCGAGCAGAGCGGGTCCCAGGTGGACGACAACGGCCGCCGCCCTGCCGACGTCTACCTGCCGCGGTGGCGCAACGGCACGGCGGCCGCCTGGGACTTTGCCGCCGCGTCAGGGTTGCGCGCCGATCTCCTCGCCGCGTCGGCCGCATCGTCAAGCGCAGCGACGGAGCGGCACGAGGAGTTCAAATGGCAGCACCAGGACACCGCGCGGCTCTGCGCGGCACAGGGCTCCACATTCCTCCCCACGGTGGTGGAAGCCCACGGCGGGCGGGGCCGCGAGGCACGCAGGGCCTTCGGGGTCCCGGCCAAGCGGGTGGCTGACGCCACGGGGGAAGACGCCGCACTGGTTGCGGACCAACATGCCCGGCGACTTTCCGTCTCCCTGCACAGGGAGAACGCACGGGCGGTGCCGCGGCGCCTTCAGACCCTGTCTGGAGGGGCGGGGGTGGCAGCGGCCCGCCTGGCCGCGGCCGCGGCGGCCTCCGCGGCAGACGCCGTGCGAGGTGCCCCCTGCGCTGCCTCGCTCCCCGCCCGCCCCTCCCGCCCTTGCTGGGCAGCACGGGCGCCCCCCGCGCCCTTTCGCCAACGTCGCGCCGGCGACCCTCCCCGCGCGCCGCCCGGCCCTTCCCGGGCGGGGCGGTGGATGGATCCCGCAGAGGGCAATCCCCACCAAGCCGCGTCGCGCTGGGTTCGGGCGGCCACCCCGCCCAGGTCGCCGCCGTAGGGTCCGTAGCCTCGTCGCGGGCGGCTCTTCTCTCCTGGCCCCTGGCCCGGCCTGTCTGCTTGCGGTCGCTGCTTTCTCTCCTCCCTCCTGCCCCCCCCCCCCCCTCGCTTCTGCTCGTTGCTTCCCTCCCTTTCCTTTCCTTTCCTCCTGCTCCCTGCCTGCTGCCTCCGCCTGGCCCGTCTTCTGCCTGCCCGCCCGCCCCGCCGGCCCTGGCCTCCCACCCGGGCGTCCGTCGCCGTCTGCCTGCCCCCCCCCCCCTCGCCCCCTTCCGCTGGACAGCGCAGCCTGCCCGGAACCAGCGTGGCTGCATATAGGGGCCTAGCAAGCTGGCCCCGGTGGAAGAAGTCGTCGCAGTGAGCTCCCTTCCTGACCGCCGCAGCCGCTCATGCGCCTGCCCCTCTACCGACTGGTCGCCGAGCTCCCTCGGGCGCGCCCCCGTCGCGCCGCCGCCCTCGGCCGCCGCCGCCCGCCCGAGCGCTCCCCGAGCTCGGGCCCGCCCGCCGTTGGCGCCCGGCGCGGGCCGGGGTGGCAGTGGCCAAGGGCAGCGCCCCGTGGGCGGGAGGGGCCCATCCCTCGCGCGCCCGCGCATCCATTCCCACCCACGGCCCGGGCTCAACCCCTGGCTGGGCTTCGAGAATACGATGTCACAGCGCATTTGGCGGCCCCCACGCAGCGCGCTGCAATGGCTCCTGTTGCCCCAGCAACGGCGCCAAGAAGCAATGCGAAATAACCAAGGCGCCATCGCCATCAAACTCCAGCAGCGCGCTAAAGGTGACGCAAATACTGAACAGGAGGAGGGGATGGGCGGGGGCGGCACAAGGAACGACTTAATTGCAAGAACCGCGGCGCGGACGACGACGGCAACAACGACTTGTTACATGGCCGACCGGCGAGGTGGATGGCCACCAGGGGCGCCGCCCCCTCGCCGGAACGAGTGGACATGCAGTCCAATGGCCGAGCGACATCTGATGACATTCTACCAGCTCAGATCATGTCGTGATGTCCTGGCAGCGCGCCTCGGCCCCCCCGCACCCCCGCTCGCAGCTGCGTCTCGCGCAGGGGCCGCTGAGCAGACGGCCCAGGCGCATTCCTGCGGAGACGGGCCCCGCGGAGCGGCCTTCCAGCACGGCCGAAAGCGCGGGATATGCGCGGGGATGGAAGAGGGGGGCGGGGGGGGGCAGGGCGGGGGGGCCGTCGGCGGCGAGGGGGGCGATGGCGAAGGGGGGGCCTGGAGATCTGAAGGGGCCCACAAACACACAAATAAATACATCAATAAAATGATTCCCCATATTTTCATATATTTTCTGGGTTTCTGTATTCCCGCCCACTTCCCATATTTTCGGGGGAATCGACGATTAATTGAGTCTGTGTGTTTCTTTCCCTCCTGAATCTTCTGCGCCCTGGCGCCCAGTTCACTCCGTGCGCCACTTGCCGTCGCCAGGCAGCGGGCGGCAACGCGCCGCCAAGTGGCCTGGCGCGAGCGTCTCGCGCCAGGGCCACGCAGCACGCGCGATCGGGCCCCCGTGGAAGGCGCAGTCCGCGAGGCGCAAAGAATCCAAGGCGATACCATGACGGATCTACGAAACACTTCGACGGCCCTGGCCATGCACGCGCAGCGACCATCTCCGCGCAAGAAGCCGGCCCCAGATGCCCTCGAGAATGCCCGCCGCCGAGGGCATGGCCCCAATTTTGAGCGCGACGCAGCAAGGGGCCAGCGCGCCCCGCATCGGCCGCCACTGCCGCGCGGCCGAGGCAGAGACTGACAAGGCGGGCCTTCTCCTGGGGAGCAGAATGGCTGCGCCCCGCCCCCTGGACAGACCCGCAACGCGCGCGCGCGCTGGGGCTGCAGTTCGTCGCGCCCCCCAGCGCGGGCAGTCGCCCAGGCGCGCCGGGCGAGCTGGCGGGCGGGGGCGGGGGAGTCGTAGAACGGCGCGCCGCTAAACGCGAGAAGAGAGCCATTGCAACGCCCTGGCCAGGGAGGGGCGAGGGGCCCTGGCGCGCCTCGCAGCGCCGGCAAGCGCCGGCATGAAATTCGAGGCCTCGCGCCCAACGGCGCGGGGGCAAGTTGCAACATTCCGCGTCGAGACACGGGGGGGGGAA